TCAAGCAAGAAAGCACTAAGATGAAGGATAAAGAGATGAAGAAGAGTCGGTCAAAAGCAGTAGAACGAAGTAAAAGAGAGAAACCAGAGATAAAAAGGTACCGAATTCAGTATGAGAGTTAAGATCCGCATATATCTGCACCACTGAAATAGATTGAGCCATATCACCCAGGGCCTTCAACCACTTTTCTGTCATCCGGACCCCAATTGGCAAGTCTACATTTTCCTACACGTCTCGGACTAGCAGTCAAAGACTTCATGCATTCATGCCACGTTTTAGTCTGTCCACCCCTTACCTTTTTCCTATCTAAAACTACTAGCATCGTGCAACGAGGCAAGTAGTAACTTGTCGCGCGTAACACAGAATAAGAGGGAAACAGTCAAAATGTAAATTGCCACGTCACGATGGGAGTCCGAAGAAGTAGCACTGATGGCTGAATGGGGATGTGACAGTAGTATCAAGCTGATGTTACCTCTACGAGAGGACGGAGATGGGAAAGTTTGACCCAGAAAGTAGCACACTCCATATCCTACAAAATTCCTGTGCTGGCGGTATCTGTTTTTCAGCTGAATTCAAGTAAGTGGAAGCCGAACGTTAAATATCCGAAAAGGTTGCATTTGACTGGGCTCAAGCAGATGTTTCTTGGACTCAGTGGTCACGTATCACCATAACCAATTCAGTTTCGTCATCAGGTACGTCGAGAAGTATGGGCAGTCGGCAAATGTTAACGGCCCTCGCAACTATCAGAACTCAACTTCCCCTAGATCATTATCAACCTTCAGCAACCTTTTCCTAACGTGAGCCCACTTCAGCTAACTACTACTGTTTATAGCTAACAATAGCCAGATATACGTAACATATCAGAGCCATTTGATCCCATGAAGGTTCACAACCTCATCGACTAACTTACCTATTTTACCTATAATTGTCTGACTTCTGCGCTACTGACGTGGTGGTTCAACGAAACGAGTTCATTGATACAAAGGTAAATGTAGTCGAACACCCAAAGCTTTCTTATGCTAATCCTTAATGGTCATGTTTGACAGACATTTAGTCGAACAGAAGGAACTGCTGCATAGTACACTAAGTCCCTAACAAGCAATCAGCTATCACGGCAGCAAGCATTTCATATCCGACCACTGTACAACAGGTCTAATCAGACTTTCTAGGTGAGCAAAGTAGTCAACGCACCCAGCCACTCCACTTACTATTGTCAGATGAGGTATTCATTCGTGCTGGTCCTTGAGAAATAGTTTGAATTTGGGGTTGCGAAACGCACCCCAAACATTCCCGAATTGCCATCCACGTTGCCTAGGGAACTGCATCTCATCAGTATCTTCACCTAACAAGAGTATTTTACTTGCATTCTTTAGGTTTGAAAAAGAGTCTCCTGTGCCAAGTTGAGTCGTCGTAAAGTTAAACGAGGGAATAAATACCTCCCTTAGCACATGGATGACGTGTAAAAATGATGACAACAGCGGTCCTTAACGGACATCACTAAGTGTAGACAACTCACATGATGCCTTACCGTGGATTCAGTAGTGAACACTGGTGTTCAAGCATAAAACCTTCATTAAGGTAGAGAAATTCTGAACCATTACTTTCAGTGGTACGCACTGCCAGAATACCTCTTGATCAATGAAGTCAAACGCCACTTTCACGTTAGCAAATACTGCTATTGTTGGTTGCTGGTAGTTGTTCCTATGTTTCAAGATCTGGTCAGTACACCCACTACCAGGTCTGAAGGTGTTCAGCTTTCTAGGCTTACTGTTCTCGGGCTTTACTTAGGTGCTTTATGATTAGAGAATGTAGAATTTCGCTCGTTAGACTGATTCTCCTGTAGTTATCACAGGAGGATTTCTCTCAATTTTTGAAGCCTGAGACAATCAGAGATTGACATCAGTCAGAGGGGATCATCTCTGATTCTCATACAGCAGCTAACACTTCAACCAGTATACCTAGTACTTCTCAAGGACTATTCCTAAATACCTTTGACACTAACCTATCGGGGCTTGCTGCCCTTCCTTATTTCAGGTTAGTTACAGCCTTCGCAACTTCTTCAAGAGTTGGACGGCCTATTTCAATATTCTGTTCAGAATCCGACTGTGTAATAAAGAATCGAAGACTAGATGGGTGTCACTTGACCTGTTCCTCAGTGTTCTGCCCATCGTTCCTGTCATCTCGCCTGCGAGTAGACACATCTTTCTGTGCTATGGTTTCGCTACCACCCCAGTTTCCATAATAAGTCTGAATAACTCGTCTGCTACTTATCGCCACTATCTTTCGCATCTCTGGGTGAGAACAGAGTACCAAGTAAGTATATTATGCTACGAACTCACACAGCAGTAGGAAATACAATGTAGAGTTGTCGTTTGAGGTAAGGACAACCAGCAGTGTTGCCCTAAGAATGTAAACTCTCACTGCTGCCAGCCGTTTTAAATAGACGTTCTGATGGGTACGACTTGACATACCTCCGACTTCTTAGGGATGGAAGTAATTATCCGAGAGGGCCCGACTTACTTAAAACTGAGAGACTACATTTTCCTATCAGACGCTGACGAAATGCAGTGTTCTCAACATTTTGAGCGGAAACCTGAGTATGTTTCGCAGTTGATAAGTGTCAGATAATGCTATCGGACTGATGCACACTGACTCCTAGTTTAGGGATAGAGAGTCAAGTGGCAGAATGTACTAACCACTCCACTTATTTGGGAAGTTGCATCAACCTAAATCGACTGGTTGCTGACGAAATCTTACGATGGAAGCAGATGGACCATCCGGCACCGGTGATGTCAGAAAATATATCAAAGGATGAGTATATTGTGCAACAGCAGTTCACTTTGTTCTATCGTGCGGGATTGATTGTCATAGAAGGCTACGAGTTTTTGACGACGGATTTCTTTGCAGTACTGCTCTCATTCACTGGAACCACAATGTGAACAACATCAAGGTCAGGTGTAGAGTACTAGGTGAAGAAGGGAGATAAGTTGGTAGGCCTGTGAATCTTCACCGACGGAATTGGCTTGGACATGCGTCACACATACTAGACCGCTGTCTACTTTGGCATCCGACCTTAACCCAGACAGGAATAAGTTGGAGGAACATTTTTGCTAACCTTCATCTATTTATTCTCCCTACTACGCTTCTGTCTACTTTGAGATTACCTTTTTGTACCCGCTTTTTCATGCAGCTGTAAAGTGTAGAAAATTGTTCTGACGTACTTTGTGCAAGGTTCTGATTCACTTGTCTTTCTATCCTCTTGAGCTGTCTTCAGGATTTCATAGACGTCAAAGAACATTAAAAACGGAGAACCATTTTGGGCACTACTGTGGTTTTGTAACAAGACCCCAATTCCTAAAGAGATACTTTTGTATAGATCTATCCATTTGTTAAACTTCATAGTCATTTCTCTCTTGGATATAATTCTAGAGTGCAGCCTTGTTCGATGAATGCGATAAAATGCCAATGTCAAGGAACACTGTGATTGTGCATTTGCTGCACATTTCACAGCATTTGGAGAGCGAATGCGCGGCTACAGTATCCATGACATGAATGAGACGCAATCAGTTCATCATGAGCTAATTGTTTCTAGCTTTTTCAAAGACTATGAAATATACTACTTCAGATGCATGCAGCTGATAACAGACATGTTCAAATAGTTTTCGCACTCATTACTGAAAGTTTTGTTCGAGGTGGGTACTACAACACCCTCATATCAGAATGATTGGACACTGTGTGTCGTACTTTGTTGGAGAATACAGTGGGTTACATGACTGCAGTCATGTTTCCATCCTAGAATGAGTCAGAGGTAAGTTTTAAGTGCCAGGTACTTTGTTGCGTTTTCTTACTAGAAGTTTGTCCTGTCCTACATCGTTAGACATGTTTATTTCAACCTAAGGTGAAGCAATAGAGCCAGATGTACTCAGTAAATCAGCTTCGCTTCTCACGCCTCGGAAGGTTTGCGATCAGTTCATTGATACTAGTTGCTTACGGTTCGAATAGGATGAAACAGCATGCAACTGTTACGAAATTGCACTGCTGCTTCTATCTCGTTTGTTCATTGTAACTGTAAAGTTGCACAGTACATAAGTGTACGTTGGTAAATTTTCCTGCAAGAAAGCTAACTGCCCATCGGGTGTAAAATCGTTGCGAGCAAATTTCAGATACTCAGTGTTCATCATTGACACGTTTTTTCGAGCTGCAAGAGCTTTTACGCGTGATTTTTAGTGTTTTGTGAATACAGTCAGTGCGTGCCTAAATTTTTTGGAGAACTAACAACTTACCTTGTTCCCAACTTCGTTAGTAGTGAGTTTGCAATAGTAGGTGCAAGTAATTCGGTAATGCCGACCTGTTTTCAAATAGCGATTTCTGTGACCAGCAAGACGAATGGATCATGGTCATTGTTCAGGAAGTAGTGATATTCCCATTTATCCCCATACCACTGATGACTATCTATACGCTGTTATTGTTAAGGTGTGAATCAGCACAAACTGCCAGGTGAGTGTTGTACTAATTCAGTTTCTGTTTGTGTAAGGTTGAAAGGGACCATTTGCACTACGCGATCAGCAGCTAATCAGTTTCCTATTTTTTACTTAAAACTTCTGTTCCAGATACACGGATAATTTAATTATCACTGTTATTTGGATAATTATGGTGACTAATTGGGTTTCCCAAACCATCCCTGAAAAGCGACAACTTGGTGTTATGATATTAGTTTTAACCACTGTACCTTCATCATCTCACTTTTTCTTATTGATCTGACCAGCATAGAAAGTTTTTCATCTATTTCAATTCCCTCACTTTTGTTATTTTTATTGGTACTTGGATTACGGTGATTATTTTTTCAAAATATTGACAGATAGACACCAGTACTATTGAGTCAATTTGAATTGGTATGTAGTAAAACTAGGCTCCAGTAAGATTTTATTCAGTCTTTTCTCTGTATCCTGTATGTGTATTTAGTACCTTTGAATTTGTATTTTGTAGGTCCTGATCGTAAAATGGATAATTTGATAGCAGATGTGTCAGATATTGAATTTATTATTGAAACCCAATTGGAAAATCAAATTGGACTAGGATGCTTGCCGTTCTCAAATATGAACAGTTAATTAATAGTTTATTTAACGAAATTTCTTTAGAGTCTGGTGCAGGTGTTTGCCGATTCTTTATTCTAACCAATGCCCACTTACAATTTGTGTCCTTTGAGGCATATCAAAGCTGACAGGACAGTTGTATGCAAGCATTGGTTGCGTGGATTGTGCAAAAAGGGAGATGACTGTGAATTCCTTCATGAATATGATATGACTAAAATGCCGGAGTGTTACTTTTTTTCCAATTTGGTAATTTGAAGCTAAGGATTTATATTATTGGCCTATAGGAGAGTGCATGAATAAAGAGTGTCCATTTCTACATATTGACCCTGCCTCTAAAGTGCAAGATTGTCCTTGGTATGACAGAGGATTTTGCAGAAATGGTAACGAAACTTTTGTTTCCAGAAATATACTTAGGCCCCTTATGTCGTAATCGGCATGTCAGAAGAGTGGCGTGTAAAAATTATATAAATGGATTTTGCCCTAAAGGACGTGAGTGTAAATATGCCCAGTAGGTGATGTACTTTATTCTAAATTTTTCTAGTCCTATATGGTGGCCGCTTCCTGGAAGTGATCAGGATGCACAGAAGAGCCGTTGGATATGCCACCATTGCAGTAAGTTCTCTTTACGATATGTACTCCTAAGTTATTTTCCACTCTTTACTGTATATTTTGGTTTAATTTTTAGACGAGCGAGGACACAAAATCCAGTTTTGTCTTAAACTATCACCCGAAGAACGTCAACGTTTGCAGGAGCAGCAAAGATTGCAGAATCTTACCACTGGAAGTGTAGCGGCGTCTCAACCTGGCGTCACTTCAGGACCTCGGTTTGCTTCTGAGCGTCTTAAATTTGGCGGTTCGATGGGCACCCCACAGGCAGCTACTGGTGGACCACGACAAGGCCCGCAAAAGCCTCTTGACGAAGTAACATGTTTCAAGTGTGGTGAGAAGGGTCACTATGCTAATCGATGCAATAAAGGTTACTTGGCTTTCCTAAGCAAGGTTTCTCTACAACCGCATGAAATGGAAAGTGCTCGTGGCTGATTAAAACGGTTCATTTGATGGTTGTTTACCGAGTGCTTTGTGCATATGAAAACCATTATATTACAAATTGTACAGTTCTTATCTACATTTCCTTATTATTTTTAAGAAATCAACAGGCGCAGCTCAATATGAATTCGAGTTTTACTTATCTTCCTAGTGCAATGGGGGAAGAAGTATGACTTTGACATTCTCAGTTACCAGTAACTTATATCGTAGAGCTTTACTAATCCGTTTTTAGCTTAAAGTAGGTAATAAAATTCACTGATCCATTTGCAAAACTTATTCTCACCATAAAGAAATGTTTAAGTAAACCTCATACATGCTTCAGTATTCCCAACTAATCAGAAAGAGTTTATTAACAATTACTCGTTTCACTCTTCAAGTTCCTCGCTACTAAACCTGTCTGGGATTCTATGCTTTTACAAAAATAGGAGGTTTTAAAAAATTGCCGTCCCAACTGAGTATACTACTGGCCAACTTGAGTGGTTAGAAACCGCTCAGGTTAACCTGTAGATTTCATCAGAGTGATCTAAACACCGGACAGCCGTTTCCCTCGTTTGGGGTTGTGCTCATCATCGGTGTACCCGGACAAATTCAACTCACAGAGCCGGATAGTTCAGACCACCTGAATCTCGCATAATTCCCTAGTGGAGTAATGAGTTAAACCATTGACCTTATACCAGTAAATAATCGAAGTATGGTATTCTTAACAATAACAACAACGTTAGTATTCAAAGAGAGAGATTCTTAAACCTAAATAACCTGCGTAGACCTCTACTCTAGAATTTAATTATCTGTCTTAATGAGTTGAAGTCTTAGTACAGTGTAATTATTCATTCTATATTAATCACACTTTGAAGCACAAGACACTGCTACAACTTTCGCGTATATCAACTACACGGACCATTCTTCTCGTGAAAGTTCTGATAAAGGGAGCTGTCAACGAAGACCTTATTACGTCGTGGACTGGATTTATCGTCGTGCTGTAGTCTTTAAGATAAATTAACGACCGCGTGTTAGGGGAAATCTAGTGTTTCTATTCTTCAGACGGCTTTATTTAAAGCATTCCACGTTTTTGAGGTATCAGATCTTGACTCTTATTGGCCACCTCGTGTTGTTCGGGACCGTAACGAAGAAAGTATTTTATCGAATAATGCTATACGGTTTTGAAATGTGGGGATAAGTAATTTGTAGAGGTAGCAGTTATCCGGTCGCCAGTTGCTTCAAGTGTTTCATGTATGACAGAATGAAGTGACCAAGTTAGAGTGGGATTTTAGATGACTTGACTGCTAGTAAAGTGGCAGAATTTCGTGACACTGATGAATTTTCTACTACAAGGTAGCATCTGGGATCGAGTATAGTTAAGCCAAAGGTGTTAAAAGAGGTATTTTCCAGTCTATGGTTTTAGCGGCTATCAGCTGAAGTTGCTGGCTTAGAGATTTACAGTAACCTTCCTGGCTCTCACTTAGAAAATTTGGATCTTACGGTTGCGAGTGATAATAAACACGTTTCTATGTAGCACATCATTTAGAATTACCATAATGTAACAATTCTTAGAATCAATATATTTTCCTTATGGTTTGGTTTACTATTTGGCAGGTGGATTTTGTCTACTTTATCTATATTTCCCACTGCACATAGTTACTCTGATCTAAACGAACTACGCATTTTATCCAGACTATTCGCAGCTGAGAAGTTGTGAAATAAAGATGAGCTCAATTTAATCTCCAAATCTTATTTTTTGTGATTTGATGAAAACCTTTAAAAGGCTAGAAAGAAGACTGAAACGGCAGATTCAAAATCAGTTTTATGTTTATGGGAAAATAAGCGAACCAGGGCAATCGTATTTGGTCTTGAACATCTAAAAGTACCTCGTAGGGTATATCAAGTAAGGAAAGAATATTCAGTTCCTAGTTATGCAGTTGATGGAAGGTTAGGCCGTTAGCATCACATAGCGAAACGTCAGTTGAAAGGTTCATTTTGTTTAACATAAATTAAGAATTACAAATACCAAAATAATGATGGAAGTTAATTTATTGCCATTATAATCAGCCAGTTATTTCCTAGAATGCGTGCTGTAACCATGAATAACAAGGAGATAGACGTGAATCAAAGACTTAAAATGGTAGTAACACGGTTTACTTATCTTCGAACGCTGGAACACTGACCTGATCACAAGAGTTGCACATAAAAGTTCCAGTCAGTTCTAGAGTTAGGTATTCTCGTCTATAGAGTGTCAAGTTTTTCGTAAGCAAATCTTTTCGGAGTTAAACAAATTATCCCAGCGTACATCGTCTTAAGCATTTATTCTTACATAAGACCTGTTGTAAAACAGAATAAAGCGCTTGTCACTCGTGCGACAAAGTATGAGTGACGTCCAGTTAGGAGTGTTAAACAAAAAACAGGTATTTTGGCGTAGTTGAATGGTCAAAACACTTGACTTCTTATCAGCGGTTCCTTAGTTTCCACTCTATTTCGATCTGGGCAAGCAGGTAGTATATAATAAGACATACTAGGGGTGGGTCAATTAGTGTATCCATATATCTATCAAACGAGAAATATGTAAAAAAAAAATCCATTTCGCTTTGTACGTGAGTACTGACGATAAACAACATAAAGACTACGTGTATTCGAAATCCGGCATATGCCTAGATCACCCAGAAAATAATGTGAAAGTTGGATTAGCTTTGAGTCAAAGGTAAGTCGGTTGATAAAATTGTAGACAAGAACCGGTATCCTGCTAAAGAAGCTAATATACAGCAACACGTTCAGAAAATTATTTATTTATTTTCTAAAGACCGGGATTATAGTAAAATATACCGATGATAATGTTTAGGACATATTAAGTAGGCTGAAGTCAGATGATTGTTGGCAGAAGAGTAGGGAAACGAAGGTTTAGGGGGTGACTGGTTGGTCGAGGCGTGGTATTTGTAACAGATAGGTTTGAAATCTTCTTAGTATATCGTTTTCTAGTGTGATTTTATATGCAATCTTGTTGAAGGTTAAAAGAAGCACGACTACTGATATCAACCCTTAGCCTAGTAATTATGACTGACAATTAAAAAAATGATAAGAGATTATAATACTACCCAAATGTCCGTGCCGAAGTGAGTAGATTTGGATTTGAAGCTGAAATCAATTGCTTGAAAGTTGAGTTTTGAAGCCGATGTATCAAAATTATATGACTAAATATCCTTTATATGATGAACATACTTGGATTTATTGTATAGGATTACCTTAATACGCAAGACAGAACGCTTCAACTGCCAAAATATTAAGCCAATAACTGTGCCAATTATAAACGAAAACAGAAGGGAGTAGAATGTACAACAATAAACTTATAATAATGATAATGACAATAATAATAGTAATTCATGTTCAATACAAGTACACATCACAAGGAACAGTTTGTAAAATAGTGTCTGAATGACTACAAACCAATAAGGTGTTGGAAATATCAAAAGAAATTGCATTCCTAGCTGATGTATCTTCGGGTAAAGCTGATGATACAGTTAACTTTCGACGTGAACCACTGGAGCCACTCCATGAATCTGAAAGCGAAAAGTTAAGCAAATAACATTGGTGATATGATATGCCAACCGATGCAGTCTATGAGGTAAATTAGATAGGTTTAGCAAGTAAAGTGGACTGAATATAAATCAGATAATGCAAAAAGGTTAGAATGTAGTCAGTTATTCAGTGAATACTTCGATATTGTGTCATGGAACTTAGTGCTTTAAATATATAAGGGTTACTTGCTAGAGGTGATTCTGAAAACTGATCCCGTTCCAAAAGTGATGCGAAATCACTAATATCATTTATTACCAACAGCACTGAAATAAGTACGAGTTAATTAGACACATTTATAATAAAAGCCAGCTGCAAGTATTTACAACCACAATATATATGGTTTATTTACCAAAGGCAATCTCGCCTGGTTAACTAGTTCATTGGTTACTATCCGGTCTCCTAAGCCCGGGTAAACAGGTTGGGCATACGGCTAGCAGCCCTACCCTGTAAAACAATCCAACCGCTACATAAACTTCAAAGCACAGACGAAATATCAAAAGTAAAAACAAGCTTATTCCTCGCTAGAATCGGAGAGGCGAAATGACGCTGGTTGGTAAAAGCCTTCGGGAAGCCAATTGGCCGATGTGTCTTCGCTTCTCTCGATGAAAGCGAAAGTAAACATGGGGACCTGGAATGTCCGCACTATGTTTGAACCTACCAAGGCTACCCAGATTGTAAAGGAAATGAGAAGGTATAGCATTGAAGAGCTAGGAATCTGTGAAAGCAGGTGGAATGGAAGTGGAGTCTCCCAACTGTCAACTGGAGAGTCAATAATCTACTCCGATATTGTCACCCAGATGACAAACAAGAGTATACTGAGTTTTCCAGTGGCTATCATGATGTCCCCAAGAGCATCGAAAGCTTTCATACAGTGGGAACCAATCTCCTCCAGGATCATAACAGCAAGGTTCAACTCAAACGGAAGAAAAGTCACAATCATACAATGCTGCGCTATGCACCTACAAATAATGCAGATGAAGAGAAGGAGGAATTCTACGGACAACTGAAATCAGTAATGGACAAGACCCCAACCTAGATGGCGACATCAAAATACTAATGGGAGCAAACAACACAGGAAGAGAACTAACCATGGGCCGAGAAGCGCTCGGTGAAATGAACGAGAACGGAGAACTATTTTAGACTCCTGCGAACTTCATGATCTAGTGATTGGAGGCAGTGTGTACAAATACAAGGATATTCACAAGGCAGGGACATGGACTTCACCAGACACCAGGACATACTAAAAATCAGATCGACTTTATCTCAATCTCAGAAAGTGGAGACGCAGTCTACTTGACACAAGATCAAGAAGAGGAGCAGATATAGGCTCAGGCGACTCACTATCTAGTGCAAGGAAGCTTCAAAATCAAGTTGAAAGCCTTCAAAGAAGCGGTGATAAAAGACCATAGTTCAAGTTCAATACCCAGAACAGAAACTGAACTGAAGGACGAAACTACAAAGGAAATCTTCACGTCAGCCATCAAGACAAAATGGGAGATATCGAGGAACATCACTGAAGAAACCTATGTGGAAGTCTTTGAAAGCTATGCGGAAAGAAACCTGCACAACCGTATTAGAAAGGAAGAAGATAAGGAATGGATCTCGATGGATACATGGAGGCTGATAGAGCATGGAGAGGAGGATGGTGAAGCAGAAGATAAACCAGTACAGTGCAGGGATGCGCAACAAAAAAAGGAACTGAGTACAATGTATAAAACACTGGACAAAGTGAAGAAGAGTGCACGGAAAGACAAAAGACACTTCTACGACACATTGGCAAGTGAAGCAGAACAGGCTGCTAGTAGGAGGGACCTGACAACATTGTATCAAATAACCAGGTTACTTGCTGTCTGCGAAGAGATCAGCACAGATGAGACCAATAAAAGATAATGAAGGAAATTTAATTACCAAAGAAGAAAGACAGGAAATGATGGGCTGACCACTTCAAGAAGCTCTTGAATCGACCACCACCTGAAGCCCAGCCACAGAACTAAAAGTCAACACAAGCCCCCTCCGAAGTAAGTCGAAGTCCTGAACGCCATAAGGCTACTGAAATGCGCGAAGGCAGCAGGACCAGATGGAATCCCGCCAGAAGCACTGAGAACAGACGCTGGGACAACAGCGGACATGCTCACACCACTACCGCAGAAGGTCTGGAAGGAAGGAAAGGTACCTGCCAATTGATGTGAAGAATGGCTACCTTGTCAAAATCCCAAAGAAGGGAGACCTAAGTTTTTGCGAGAACTGGCGAGAAATCATGCTGCTGTCCACCCAAGCAAAATATTAAGCTGGATCATCCTGGAGAGACTAAACAATGAGCTGGGTCCAAAACTACGAAAGGAACAGGCTGGATCCAGGAAGTACAATCATATGCGGACCAAAATGCAATGCTATGGATCATCATAGAAAAGAGTGTAGAATGGCAGTCAACTCTCTACCTCAACTTCATCGACTTTGGAAAGGCTTTCGACAGCGTCGACCGAGAAGTAATTTGACAGGCAACTGCTCCAACACTATGTAATACCACAAGCCTTTATCAACCTCATTCAATAAATGTATGAAGACGCCACATGCCACAATGGAAAGCTCAGTGATGCCTTTGAAGTGAAGACAGGAGTAAGACAAGTTGTTGCCTACTATCACCCATGATCTTCCTGATTGCGGTCGACTGGACTGGCTCATGAGGGCAAAACATGAGGAGCGAGAAGATGGGGACACGATGGTCGGACCGATGGAAATAGCTCAGAAGATTTGAGTTTCGCTGCCGCCGCCGATGATGACTTATGTCTAATATCTTGTGGTACAAACTCGAAGATCTACAGGCGAAAATCAACAAGTTGGCAGAAGTTGTAGGGCAGCGAAGATGGGACTTCAGGTGAACGTAGAAAAGACAGAGGTCATGAAGATACCCAACCAAAAACAACAGCGACAATAAGCTCTAATCACCATCGACGGGAGAAACTTAAAGGAAGTAGCCTCTTTCATCTATCTAGACAGCATCGTTTCAACTACAGGCGGCATAGACAAAGACGTCAAAGCCATGATCAAAAAAGAAAGATAGGCGTTCCGCACTCAGCATAGAGAACAAGATTCCGATTTTTAACACCAACATCAAGTCAGTGCTTTTATATGGTTCAGAGATCTGGCGCGTTACGAAAGGGACTTCCGACAAACTGCAGACATTCATCAACAACTGCTTACGCTCGCTACTGGAGATCAGATGGCCAGAAAAAATAAGCAACAAGGAACTCTGGGAACGAACCAACCAAGAACCTATCACCCAACAAATATGCAGAAGGAAGTGGAGTTAGCTTGGGCATGCACTGAGAAGACCATTGGGGGACATCACGCATCAGGCCAGTTGCTCGAGTGGAACCCAAATGGGAAACGACGAGTTGGGCGTCCCAGCTGAGGGTGACATGGAGGAGATCGTGTGAGGAAGAAATGAGAGCTTCTGGGCTGTTGTGGAGCCAGGTTCAAAAGACTGCAGAGAATAGAGTGCACAGGAGACGTGCTAGGAACCCAAGGGACAAATAATAATAATAATAATAATGATAAATAATTTAACGAAGGCTATCGTTACTGAGTGAACACAAAAATGAGATGCTCGTTGTTCATTTTCCCATCACGACAGTCATATATCTATCATATATTAATAGGACCGACAGTTTTTTTTTTTAAATCTTGGTTTCATAAACCAGTTTGATTTATCAACACATCTAAAAATAGCATGTGATGTGTATATCGACTGAATGAATAGATGAAGTCAACAGCTATATGTGCAGGTTCATGCACTAGGCAATGAGGCATACATGTTGTGCAAGGGATGGTGATATTATCTGGTTGCTTAAAATATGTTAGGTAGAATGGTGTTCAAATCAGTGACCTAATGGTTGAATCTTCGCTACTTAAATCAATAAACGGCAGGACAAGTATCAGTTAAATAGAAGTTTCGATCTAACTTCATTCATGTAGTCGTTTTTTTTTGAAGACTATTATTAAGAACAACTGCAGTTCACTGTTTTAGGTGATCGACTTCCAACCAATAGATCATTGGTTCAACACTTTAAGATTTGAGATCTTAGCATTCAGGTAGTAAGTATCATCAGCCCATACAACTCAAGAGTGGTTTTTTGCCTACTGAACGAACGTCCAAATGGCTGTGAAATTGCATTTCGATTATCAAGAAGACGTTAGGAAACGGAAAGTAGTGCGTATGGACAATTGCAATTTGGTGAATCTTTACATATACCTTGAAACAACATTTAATAAATGGTGACCTTAGTGCATGTTTGCTTTGTGTAGCGATAATTATGAGCCGATTCAAGACATTAATTATTGCTGTATGCTGTTTCATTTAGAAGTGACAACCAGTCGACCACAAATACAGCATCCATTTTTCCAACCTAACAACTGCCTTAGTTATTTGCTTGTAATTTACAAGTACCAGCTACAAGTTCAAGAGATAAAATGCTACTAGTCGTCTTAGCTTCTGTCAATCTGTAGCTCAGAAATAGGATATGACTCATTCAGTGTTTTTACTTTTATTAAGAAATAGGATCAGATATAAACTTTTTGATGATTGATACATATATGAAATTATGACAACCAACAGGTGAACTATATCTCACTGTAACAAGCATCTAGTGGTATATATCTTTACATTATCATATACGCATACCTCATGCTTACTATCTAGTATTATTTGTTTTAAATTAAATTGAAAATAACGAAAGAAATACAATCAAGTGAAATAGAACTGTTCAAATTATCAACTAATACCAACCAGGTAGTTATATGGAAGCATTATGTTATCGGAATAAATTTATGCTGGTACAGGATATAACTGTACAATTTTAGAAATTTCATCGTTCACTTTACTGTCAAGTCATAGTACGTCAAAATAAACTCCATTGGTTACGACACCATTGGGTTAAATTATGCATACAACGTTCATAAAATAAGTAAATAAATGAGAGAGGTATATACTCACCTGATTCATCACGATTACTAATCTGAAGTAAACCGGCTGTTTCTGTAGCCATATACAAATATTTTGGTTGACGTGGATGAAAAGCTGTTTCCCATACACTTTGACCATCACAAGGTAATTCAGTCAATGGATATTGTTCAGCTCTTAAATCCCATATACAAGCAGGTGCACCAGAACTACTAACACCACCTACACATAAAAGATGCGGTTGTCCAGGATGTTGGCCTAAGCATAGAAGAGGTTGAATTCCCCCAGAACTATTAGGGGAATTCAAGGGAGAAAAACATAACAAAACCATCACTGGATAAGTAAAGCAATAGAAGCATATTGTTTAACAAATATATGTAGTATAAAGTGATAGTATAAAAAAAGTTAACTTCATCAAATATGTATTTATACGATATTCCTTGATACAGAAAAATAGACAGCATTTATCCAAGGGTATATTGTTCAGAATACCTGGAAAATACATTTCACTTTGATTTATAAACCCACGGTGGAATAAGACTTAAAAGTAATTATATAATCCACTCAAAAATAGAACAAAAGGCAAACAACACCAGAAACAAATAGGATCCAGAACACAGGATGCTTATTCTTAATTGATATAAAAAAAAAATATTTATGCATGAATATCAATTTTGAGCAGTACTGTTGCTCAGTGTTGTGGAGATCTTCTGCATTCAACATGTGATTCTATATGGTTCAGAGACTTGGCGCGTTACGAAAGGGATTTCCAATAAACTACAGACATTCATCAACAACTGCTTACGCCGGCTCGATACTGAAGATCAGATGGCCAGAAAGAATAAGCAACAAGCAGCTCTGGGAACGAACCAACCAAGAACCTATCGCTCAACAAATATGTAGAAGGAAGTGGAGATGGATAGGGTATACACTGAGAAAGCCGACTGGGGACATCACGCATCAGGCCAGTTGCTCGAGTGGAACCCAGATGGGAAGCGACGAGTTGGGCGTCCCAGCTGAGGGTGACATGGAGGAGATCGTGTGAGGAAGAAATGAGAGCTTCTGGGCTGTCATGGAGCCAGGTTCAAAAGATTTCGGAGAACAGAGTTCACTGGAGACGTGCTACTGAAGCCCTATTTTCCACTAGGAACCCAAGGGACTAATGATAATAATAATACTGTTGCTCAGTGTATTATGACTCTTTTGATAGTTATCAATCTACAAAAAACTTTAAAAAAATTACGAAATTCTGACAAGTATACATTTTGTTGGCATACCACAATCTCCTGTTTTAGATAAACATAACAGAAATTAGAGGAAAGACAAAAAGTGAAATGATAAATTTGGAAGTAGACGGCTTAAAATCGAGATATTCTGACTACCCTTACGAGAATGAATAGCAAAAACAACTATAAACTTTGCTTTACAACTTATGCGCACATTTATTTACAACGGGTATTCCAAACTAAACTGGTTATCATTTGAGTTTCATTAATTACATCCTACCATGAACAGGATGTCAGTAACAAACACAGGGATGTTATGGAGAGACACAGCTGTCTAATGCTAAGAGGAGACGAGATGAGAAACAAAACAGAGAGCCTAAACATTCACAGATTTGATGAATGGATTATTTCCTGTGTGTCAAGCTTACATTCCATGCCTTACCACAAACAAGTAAGCGTTATTTAGCTGTATGTTACTATTTTTTTCAACGGAATGACCTTGTCAGTTATTTGTTATCTATGTGACAGCATTCTTATTTACATAAATAAGTTCGAATCGCAACTAAGAATGATGAATGGTCAGGTTGGCAATATTTTTATTTTGCTCAGTGACTAACTCAAAGTATGTGATATACAGGTTAGGTAAAAATGACGTCTGCCAATGAAAAATTCGGAAAGTTCAACTAACTTGATGCTTAATTTACACTTACAAGTCAGCATAAACTTCAGACATAAAAAGAGACGTTGCCTGATATGGCATCCACCAGTCTAAACTCAGCAGTGGAAACAGACAAACTGTATTACTATGTCATCACTAGATAGGATCAGTGCAAGAGTCGTACTCCTTCTGCAGCACCTGTCCCAATAGCAACCATGCCTTGATTTCAGCTCGTCTATGTATCCATCTCAATGGACGGAGGAAACGTTTAACAACAAGACAATTACAACCAGCTAGACAGCTAGACAATCAGAGCACTAAGGCTGATTTCAGTGACAAACTGCCACAACAGTCATTGGAACAGAACAATATAACTCAATCAAAGGAGTTTGGCGTCATATCCACCCTGTTGTAAAAACAGCAATGAAGGCCACAACCGACTCTCAAACAGTGATTAAAATGAGCCACCGGATATCAGCAGCTTCTTCTGTGTTAATCGATGCACACAAACGCAGCCCTGAAGACTCACAGTGCAATCAGGAGCGAATGCAACTCAAACGTAGACTGACAAATATTCTACGCAACGACCACAAACAATGGCGGGTAGCGAATACTAAAGAGATGGAAAAGGCGGCGGTGGTGGCGGCGGCGGCGGCGATAATTAACAATAGACAATCACTTGGGATTATTGAGGAAATTCGAGAGGAAAGGACAATGTTTACTAGGACAATAGAGGGGAATGATGGGTCTGTGATTCATTCGCAGAGGAGGCGACTGAAACGATGGGTGTAACACTTGGAGGAACAGTTCAACCGGCCTTCAGCTACTATTTCTTTGCCCACTATCAAGTCGGAGCCTGAATGGAATGTCGACATAGGATCCGCCCAACACTCGAAGAAGTTTAGATAGCTGTAGGTAACCTGAGAGAAGGAAGAGCACCAGAGTCAGACGAACTAGTTATAGAGGTATTCAAGTAAGTTGAGAGGGGATTGTTGGTTACATTGAGCGAAGTGTTAGCTGTTGTATGGAAGTTATATTAGTGTGCCCCTTGAAGAGGATAAACAATCCATTCTTCACATATGGTTACAACAAATAGGAATCGACGAAGGAAACTTAATTCTGAAGTATTTTATTTAAATGTTTGTAAGTCAATAATTGATTTTACGGATCGATATCATTCAAAGAATTATTAAAAACTTATGAGCACTAGACAGCTGTTTCGTCCCAATCTGGGATTTATCAGAGAACAAGTAGGGTGTAGGAATAGATACTCGCTGATGGCACTGGATGAATCTACAAGATTTGGAAAATGTGGATCACTCGATTTATATCTGTTGGTCGAATGATTACCTGATCACTGCGAGACAACAACTCAGGAGGCAATCCCGTGTAGGGTCAAGGATTTGCACCACTGCGAAGTTCTAAGTTAAGAGAAAGTAGCCATCCAGTGCTCCTAGGTTTTCAATAATTCTTCGGCTGACATTAGTGCGTAGTGAAATCTCTTATGGAGTCTGAAGTACTTATTTAACCAGCAATACCTGACACAGAGGTACTATGAAAGGTCACAGTAAAGTAACGTTTCGTCATGCATATAGACATTTTTAATGGAACAAGTCCTATCTAGCAATAACTAGACGCTAGTGAATGATTATAGCGGGAGTCCCGAAGTGTGATGTCGGAAATTCTTTTTCCAGTTATTACTGAATGCAATATAGAGACGTTAATAATTAGAGGAAGTGTTTACGAGATTCCCAGAACTAAGTAAAATGAAACAACTGTATGCTAATCGATTGTGAAATTTCATCGTGACACCTCTTAGAAATCAAAATGTTTCAATTTCTAAGAGGCGTCATACTGAGGTGTATTAGGAATAGTCACAAGAAAACTGCACGATATAAACTGCCTAGTAACATGTGTAATCGCGAAATTAGCTGCATTCACCAGGTTATCCTTTAAAGGTAGGTCAAGGTGATTTATACATTGACTTTTGGTTTTATTCATTTAACCTTCAGTTAATCAGCTTCTAGAATTGATTCAGTTCAGACAGTCGGAAGATAGGAACCACAACAATTTGTGAAAAAAATAGCATAGTGTCTGTACAATGTAACAGACAAACTTTCTACTGCTTATTTATTATGAAGCTTAAAGACCATCAGTTCTTAGGGAAAGATAAATCCTAGTCAGTGTGACCGTAGAATGCAATTGCATACGGTAAGAATGATATGAATACGATAAATGAGACAAGAATAATCAAACTCAACTCTGTAAGTATTTATGCACTAGACTGAGTTACACTAGTCGTGTGAGGTGGTCTTACGACACCACGCAATTGGCCAGATCGAAGTAAGGAAATACGATGATGAGGTAATAGTCAATTCCTGCTGACCAGTAAAACAGCAATTATAACAACTAAATGATAATTCCTGTAGCTAATACATGAATTTCAAAGTGGATTTAGGTGATAAAAAGATTCAAACCCATAACATTCAGGTTATACACTTGATGCCACTCACGTTTCTCTAATAAAAACTCAATAAAAAAAAACAAAATGAATTACAAAAATGCTCAGAAATTCGAACGAAAAGGAATTCTTTTTTGATTGACATTCATCGGTCAGTAGAACAATCTGATTTATCCAATCTACCACTTAACCTCACATGAAGCAACGTAAGTCACTAACTAGAATAAGGAATTGAGATAACATTTATAAAGTAAGTTATAAAGTGATGCAAAAGGTGGAATTACCGTAAAAGTCTACGTTGTGATTTGATAAAACCAATGCGTAAATCCCATAGCTTTAATTGACCCAATTGATTCACACTTGCTAATGTAGAATTATCTACACGTTCAAGGGCATTCACTGTACAAATATCACCTCCTGATGTTATTACTGCATCTTAATTTTACATTAGTTTGACAAAAAGTATAAACAGTACGAGAAAAGTTTATTAATAAGAATTAGTAAGTAAATGAAAGCAAATACATTATACTCGACAGTAATGTTTTGATGAAACAATGCTATATGTCGAAATATCAAATCCACTTTTACAACCGACCAATAAAAGTATAGACTGTATCACTTTACTTCTTCTATGTGCACTTGTCAGTTCAAATATTCCTGTACAGGTCATTACATAAGATGAATAACTCTATACAGGTATACTGCACAATTTCTGAACATCAATCACCATGTATGACTGACGGATAGATGAAGACAATAAAGAGCTACATAATTGTACACTAAGGCGGTACTGATCACCTAACATGCATATATATAGCGACCGATATATGAAGGTTAGCAAATGTCACTAGATTTCCACAACGTCATCCGAATTGATTGATGTGAGAAGACTGATTCCAGCTGTTTAGCTATGACCCCGATGAAGAGCGAAAGAAATTTAAACGTAAGTTAACTAGGAGTCTTTGCGTCGACCGCAAATAGTGGTGGGTGGTGAAAGCCAGAGAGATGGATGAAGCATCTGTATTGCATTATAACCGCAAATAATTTGGGCTTGCTAACGATGCCGGCGAAAAAAGTAGATGGTGAGTGAAACCATCACCGAAAAGGATGGGATGCTGATTACTTCACAGGACAGACGGTTAGAACGCTAGGCATAACACTTTGAAGAAATGTTCAACACCAACACTTCAGTTGCCCAACATCCGGCCTGAACTTGAATGAGACGCAGATGTCAGTCCTACAATTCTTCAACTTGAGAAAACTGTATAGAACCTAAAACAATGCAAACCAGCAGGACCTAATAGTTTGCAGCCTGACATTTTCAAGAAGGGAGGTAGGAAATATATGATTAAAGTGTAGGAGGTACTTGGCAGCGTATGGGAATCAGAGGTAGTGCCATCAAAATGGTGCACTTCACCTGTCACTCAAGTTTACAAGAAGGGAGAGAAGTCTTCCTGAGACAACCATAAACGAACTAGTCTGACTAACACTGTTTAGTAAAGCTCAGATTCTAAGACTTTTCGTCTTTAGTAACAGCTAAGACAGATTTTTGGTAGGACACATCTCTCACTTCATTTCAAATGCAGCCAAACAGTGAGTAAACAAAGACTACAGAGTGTGTAGATTTCGCAGATTCATAACATTGACCGGCTTAGTCAAAGTCAATAACTCCACATTAGTCTTGTACACATATCCTATACACACTTCAGATGACCAGAGGCTGAGGTTCTAGAGTGTTGACTAGAGAAGCCTTGTTCTTGATATAACGAAGGAAGAAAATACTGAAACATCCGATTTATAGTTTGAAGCGCAATTTCCAGACACCAAAGATGCTGTCCTGTCAACTCGGAGACTGATCGTGATTAGAAGGCAATTGAGTACACAGTTGTGAAGACAGTTGATACTTCACAGTTGTTGACAACGTAAAACGCTACTATTTCCTAAGATACCTGGAAAATAAAGAGCGTTATCAAGGATGGACTAATTGTTACGTGACTACAGAGTCTAAACAACATATCCTTGAGGTCTGACACACACGGCCTTCTTAACAAATTTCGATTAAGATTCCATTATTCTAACACCAGCGCTCGAAAACCACAGAGCATGGAGGAGTGCATCATCATCATCATTATCAACATAGGACCAGGCATTACTGCGTAACGGTCCGAGTTGCCACACCTCATATCAGCACATCAAGTAAAAAGGTAGTGAGGTGAAGGATGAAGATAAGTGAATGCAGTCAAAAGAAATATAAAGTACGAGAAGAAAGGAAAGAGGAGTGACAAAATAGTGAGATTCGGTATAGCGTTGTTAAGATGAGGATAATGTGTGTATACATCTGCGCCACTGACTTCGGTTCTGAGCCATATCACCTAGGGTCTCCAACCACTGGTTCCTCTTGTCCCGTGGACCCCAACCACCTAGTCTGCATCGTCCTACATGGCTTAAACCAACAGTCAGAGACTTCATACATTGGTGCCATGTTTTAGTCTGGCCACCTCGGGCCTTTTTCCAGCCTGAACCCACCTCAGCCAACATTGTGTGACGAGGCAATCGGTGACTAGGCATACGTAGTACGTGTCCCAACCATCTCAGTCGATGAAGGTTCACAACCTCGTCGACTGACTTACCTCTTCTCCCCAAAACTCTACACCTAACTTCTGCATTACTCACATGGTGACACCACGGAATACGTCCTATACTACGAAGGCAACGGTGGTCAAAACCTGTAACCTTCTCATGTCTTCCACTTTCAATGGCCATGTTTCACAGCCATACAGTAGAACAGAGCGGACTGCTGTGCAGTACACGCGACCCTTAATAGACAAACGAATATCACGGCGGCGCCATAGGTGGCGCAAATTGGCAAAAGCCAATCGAGCCTTTTGTATCCGTGCAGAAATCTCATCGGCAACTAACCCACCGGGTTGATCCTACTTCCCAGGTAAGTGAAGTGGTCAACACACTCAACCACTTCACTCTCTATTGTTAACCGCGGTACCGCTGAAGACCAGTCCTGGAGCAAAAATTTGCATTTGGGTGGTGAAAATCGCATCCCAAACATTCTCAAATTCCCACTCAAAGTGTTCAGAAGACTCTGCATCTTGTCAGCGTCTTCACCTAACAGGACTATGTCATCTGCATATTCTAGATCTAAGGAAAATTCACCTGTGATCCGGTCAACGTCTTTGTAATTAGGTGACGAGAGGGAAACCTCCATAAGAATATCTATGATAAAATTAAATAAGAATGGGGATAGTGGGCATCCTTGACGGACACCACTTGATGAGTATAGCTCCCTGGACAACTCACCATAGGCTCTAACATGCCCACAAGTGTTCGAGTAGAGAGCTTTCAATAAGGTGATGTACTTACTAGGCACGCCTTTCAGTGACAGACACTGCCATAAGACTTCTCGATCAACGGAGTCAAATGCCGCCTTCAGGTCGAGAAATACAGCTATTGTCGGGCGTCTGTAAGCATGCCTATGTTCCAGGACCTGGCGCAGTGTGAATATTTGGTCGATACATCCACGGCCAGGTCTAAAGCCTGCCTGGTTTTCTCGGGCTTGCTGTTCCCGAGCTCCACTCAGGCGTCGGAGAATTATAGAACTTAGGATCTTAGACACTATGTTTGTCAGGCTGATTCCTCTGTGGTTATCACAAGAGGACTTCTCGCCTTTCTTGAAGACTGGGATGATCAGTGACTTAGACCAGTCGGAGGGGATCGTATTTGATTCCCATATACTGGCTAACACTTCCGTTAGCCTGACTAAGAGAACTCTACCACCATTCTTGTATACCTCAGCAGGTAGTCCGTCTGGTCCTGCTGCCCTTCCCCGTTTCAGGCTACCTACCGCTTTCTCAACTTCTTCTAGTGTTGGGGGACCTGTCTCTATGTCCCATTCAGGGTCCGACTGGATAGCGGGCAGCGCAATGGTGGCTGGAGGCCAGTTAAACTGTTCCTCAAAGTGTTCTGCCCATCGTCCCAGTCGCCTTCCCTGCGAGTGAATCGCCGATCCGTCCTTCTCCGCTATAACCTCACTAACTGTTGTTGACCATTTCCCCCCAGTCTCCTTAATAAGTCTAAATAACTGTCTACTGTTACCGATCGCCGCTGCCTTTTCCATCTCTTTAGCCTTTGCTGCCCACCACTGTTCACGATCGTTGCGCAGACTTTTCGTCAGTTTATTTTTAAGTTGCGCTCGCTCTTCATTGTACTCAGAGCCTGCAGGGATGCATTCACGTGCATCCATTAGTTTGGAAGAAGCTGCTGATATCCACTGGCTCTTTTTAGCCATTATCTTGGAGTCGGCTACAGTCTCCAGTGCTGCTTTTACAGTAGACTGAAGATGGCACCAAGCTTCTTCTGGATGAGTGACAGTCTTTTGTTCCGATAACTGCCTAGCCAACTTCTCACTGAACACGGCTTTGGTGTTTTCGTTGTCCAGCAGAACTCGTAGTGGTTTTGTTGCCAAATTTTTTCTACGTCCATTGAGACGCAGGCATATACGTGCTCGGACCAACGCATGATCGCTGTCCAAACACGTACTCCAGAAGGAGCGGCAGTCTTCCACCGATCCTCTCCAGCGATGACTAATAGCAATGTGGTCTATCTGTGTCCATCGCTGAGTCGAGCTCGGTGGACGCCAGGTCAGACAGTGCCTTTCTTTATGTCTGAAATTTGTGCTGGCTAAAAATAGGCGGTTATCTGAGCATAGTTGTAATAGGCGATCACCGTTATCTGTACGTTCAGCTGGGATTCCGAAAGTGCCACCTAAGTGCCTTTCTGCCTCACTCAGTCTACCCACCTGTGCGTTGAGGTCACCTGCAACAACCACTACGTCCGAACGTTTGGCTTTCGAGAGGAGGTTAGACAGTTTATGGTAGAACTCGTCCTTCACTTCATCCGAACTACAGTCAGTGGGTGCGTAAGCAGAGATTACAAAGAGACAACGGCGAGTCTCACTATTCCTTTTAGTTCTCACTGTGCCGTTCAGCCTCATAGCGCAGAGGCGACTATCAACTGGGATCCAGTCTAGTAGTGAGTTTTCTGCCCTGGTGCTTAATGCTATACCTACACCTGCAAGACCACGAGAGCTAGCTATCGAATCTCCAGAAACTCGAAGGGTGAATTTTGCAGATTCACCAGATTGGTCAGGAGAGGTCAGGTGAATAACCACACTTGGGTCCTGTATGCGTGTCTCACAAACACAGCACACATCCATGCCCGAGTTGCTAGAGTCTTTGCCAACGAAGCCTGTTGGCCAATTTGACGGAGGGTGCGGACATTGAAGGCTCCAATATGTAATTTGGAGCGTGGTTTAAGGAGACCAGGGATGCTGTTCTGTGGACTCAGATCGTTGTCGAAGGCTGCAGAGGTAGGAGAAATTGAAGATGATGCAGCATCATTAATTAAGAGACGTGAAGGAAGATTAGAAGGTAATGATGGAGGAGGAGGATAGCAGTCAGAAGAAACTTGGGTGCTGACAGAGTTGTGAGGGCGGTTGACACTTCCCGGCTGCCCACACCGTGGAAGGCTATTTCTTCTTAAGGTACCTGAAAGAGATTTGTGTGACCGCAGAGCCCATCGGACATCTGCTTGAGGCCTGTCACACCCAGCCTTTTGAGTATGATTATTTTGAATTTTTGTATTTTTGGGGCCGGATGGGCGAAAGGAAACGACAAGTGAACCAACACCGCCGGCCCGGCAGACCGTGGGGCGTGGTGGAGTGTGTTATTTTTGGGGCCGACCTTTTCTAACCCCCCCTTCCACTGAGAAGGCAGCATCAGCATGGCACTGCTGGTCATCCAAGGGAAACACCTTACTGCTGTCACACCCCATCCAGCTAGCAGCAGTACGACTTCGCCCTCAGACCCCCATCATAGTGTAGCAATTTACACTATAACGGTAACTGCTTTTCGTCTAACCACTACCCAACAGACCTTTCTGGTATGGTAGGACCTCGAGGGAACAAGCGTTCCACCAGCATAGCTCGTTGGGTCATTGTGATATGCAAGCCCGACCACCACGTCAAGGTAGCAGCTATCGGTCGGGCCATATTTATTGTCGTCGTGAGAAACTTAGTTTGTACACAACAGCCACATTCATATTTTGATATTGCTAATAAAACTTGTATATTTGTGTACAACCAAAGATGAAGGAGGCACTAGCTGAAAGGAACATTTCTTCACTCAATCTTTCCATTCAAAAGCAGCATGAAAGTGTAATACAGCTCATGTATCCTCAATCTTATGACATTATTCTCGACTGAAAGCAAAATTATACACATGGGATACAGAGTTATTGTTTGTAAAGGGAATATTTGAAATAGTGAACATCAGTTGCTCAGAATTTGAATTTTCTGGTAGAAGTATTCTCGAAGAGTATTTGTCGGAACGGATATGTTTAAATTTCTGATGAATAACAATAGTTATATTTACAACTGTGAAATCCTCCTTACTATATACTATTTCCCGTGTCTTAATATGATGGTACTAAGACCACCTGAATACTACTACTACAAATTAAAAACATCATTTTACTTGCGTGGTTGACACTTTTCTTTTACGGCAGTCAATGTTCAATCTCGCATTTTAAAAATTTTACTATAGCAAAATGGTTGCACCAAACAACTAGCTGAGGTTAACAGATGACAGGACATGGTACATTTTTTCACTTCCTCTCTTCACAGAAAGTGTATAAATAGCGACGATGATTTAAGACAGGACATTTAGAGTGGCATATTAACTATACAATGTTGTACACGTTCTTCTTTCCTATACATTAATTTACCGAAATTTTTTCCAAATCAAAGTTAGTTTCAAAACAGTCTATACGGTCACTTGATAAAAACAGTTTGCCGTTACCAAGTGCACTAGTGTTCTTAGGAACGAGATAACTATTACACATAGTAAGTACATTTAAGGAAGAAAGGATTTGAAACAATTAAACAACAATACAACCTTTTTAACTATGAACATATTCCTTAGAATTTTGTATTGGTAAATGAACAATTCAGATGGGTACTAAGATTTTTACACTCTACTACTACAGTCACAACACAAAGAAAGCACTCAATAAAATCAAAAAATAATGATGAGTCAAATTACCATTACTGCATTTAGTATGGTCATCTTTCTGAAAACGAGGAATACGACCAACTTCGACAGCAGTCAACTGACCGAATTCATTGCTTACATATACATGCCTACCATCGGCGCTGAGCGCAAGACAAGATAAAGCTGTCGGGATATTGCCACATAAGATGGGCTGCCCAAAAGGCATCCAGTCAGTTTCAGTTAGTCGAACCAGACATGGCTGAGCATTATAGGCTTGAAATAGCTGAAGACTACCATTTGAACTAGCGGAAAAGATAATTTTATTTTCATGATGAACCTTAATGAAAAGAAACAGGTTATCAATCGTAATTTCTAAGTAAAGCAATTATTTACAATAAAAGGCTTTTAATGTAGTCAATCTGGATTGCATGAATACAAAAATATACAGCGTATTCTGAAAATTAATGCTAAAAGGATACAAGTCAGTTTCCTGAGACGAATGGATTTAGCGAATTCATAAGAAGAAGAAAGGTAAAAAACTGTGCAAGATATAAGATAATGCATAAAAAGTGTAATAAAAGCGAATACATCCATTTATCACTACTACTCATTGCTAAATATGAAAATATCACGACACTATTTGTCTTTCGTATTTGAAAAGCGCAATGGTAATTTAAACGGTACAGTTGGTATCGATACAACTGAGAGAACTAGTTTACGTTTGTGTATTGGGCTACAAGTCAAACATGTGTTAAGGCTTATGAGATACTATCGGATCACCCAGGATGAAGTAGGTAAAGTGCAATCCACTGCTTGACCGCTGAATGTCTGGGTGTGACTTTTGTGAGGAGGCTAAAGGATAATATCAATAAAGGTTGGATAAAGAATCAGTGAACGGAAGAGCAGAAGATACTTAAACCGAGATATCATAACTATGAGTCGTACGAAATATGCTTCAAATGACATTGAATACACCTACCTCAGTTTAGTAATGCTTACGATTAAACGTTTATCATTTTATGGTCAACTTTCAAGAAATATGCTAAATCAACAAATTAATGAATTCTATTTGAACTTATTAGCAACACTTCGTTTAGTCTATTCCTGTAAGTGATGCATTAGTCTCTGTTAGGCATTCAGAATTTGGCCAATCGACACTCTACACTGTGCATTTTAAAATCTTACAGAAGAGTAACGTACCAGATAGTTATGTACGCACAAATTAAATTAAATTGACCAAAGTAATACAAGGATATTTAAAAATCCCAAACATATTCTGCAGGTTGCAAAACAATTGGGGAGAGTAAGCGAAATGCATGGATGCTAATCCTGTTACCATTGTTCTTCTTGGTTTATTCTAATACATAAAACATACGTGATCAGTAAGAATGGTTTAATTTAGATGTTACGACTTGTAGAATGCTTTTATGAGTCAATAGATATGAAAGTGTCCATTAGAGGAGACTAAACGAACATTCGAAGCAAAACATCAAAAAGAGGTCACCTTTCAAAACTATGTTAAAGACAGTTAACTTACAATCAGAAAATGCTGCACACATTTTATCTCATACTGTGGTACGCCTCTGACTCAACTCGGGACTAGACATAAAATCGTTCATCTTTGTAGTAACGATGTTCCCCTATGAACCAGCCATTTTAGTTGTAATGGATAGTATTTTCTATCTACATCAATTTACCTGAAGTCCAATATATGAGACAGCTCTACCTTGAGATGAAGATCACGCTTGGATATCACAATGACCCGGTGAGATACACTGACTAGAAAGCTTATTTCTTGAGATCCTACCATGCAGAGATGTCTGTCGGATAGCAGTAAAAAGAAGAGCAGTTACCATAACAGTGGAAATTGCTACGCTATAACGGGGTTTCGAGGGTAAAATCGTACTGCTGGTTAGATGGATTGTGACAGCAGTAAGGCGTTTCTCGCTAATGAATAGCAGTACTACATTGAAGCTGGAGAGGATATAAGAAAAGGTTGACCTAAAAGATGGCACTACTCCTTTTGCCCCGTGGCATACCAGAGCGGGCAGTAACGGTTTTTCGTGTTCAGCGCTAGAACAATGAAACCTTAAACCATCCATTATCAAAATGTCAAGTGAAAATGGCTTCAAAGTTAAACAAATCTTTCACTCTTTCAGGTACCCTGCAGAAACAACTTCCAGTATGCGAGCAACCGGCAACTGGGAACCACCAGCATGCTTCAAGCAGAGACTAACCAGAGACAACGAAAAGTTTTCTTCATAGCCCTCACTTTGTAATTCAGTCTAACGGCGTACTGGTGACTGTCAAGTGGGATCCAGTCAAGTAGAAAACTTACTGCCTCAGTGCTCAATGATATACTTACACCTACAAGACCGTGAAAACTGACCATCCAACTTCCAGAAATTCGGAAGAGGAATTTTGAGAATTCACCATATTGACCGAATGAGTTTAAGTTAATAACCGCAATTGGATCCTGTATACGTGTCTTACAAACAAAGTCCAAATGCCCTAGATGCCAGAGTTTTGACCAGCGAAGCTTGTGACTGACTGATTCACAAAATCGACGTAGAACCTACCGAAAAGGTGCATTAGTTTGATCAGCCACACTTCAAAGGAATATATTAAGAACAGGTGGATAGAAAAATAGCGATATCAAAGTAGAAAAAGTTGTGAAAACAAATAAACAAATCGAAAGTGAAGGTCAGTGAAAATATTCAAACCTCAAAAGATGTCAAGGTATGAATACATCTGAGCATTGTGACCAATTTTCAACCACCGCAACAAGACTCCTCAAACACTAATTCCCTCCATCTCGAGGAGCCGAACCAGGCAATCTGCATCTACCTACACGGCTTAGAACCAACAGTAACAGAATTCAATGACTGGTACCACGTCTTGGTGTGACCACTCTGATCCCTCCCCCAACCTAATACAACCTTCCATTCCATCCTACCACATCCTGGTAGGCTGTGGCTCGGCATGCACAACACATATCCAACCCACTCCAGTCAACTAACATTCACAATCGCATCAATAGACTTTATTGACTTCCCTAGTGCCCTTCACCTGAGACTTCAACATTCCTCACACGCTGTTTCCACCAAACGCGAGCAACGCTACGAAGACACCTGTGATCAAAACCCTGTAATCATTTCATGTCTCCCACTTTTAACGGCCATGTATGACAAGTGTAAAACAGGACAGAACGGACTGCAGTGCAGTGTATTCGTTTATTGATTGATAGTCGAATATCTCGCCAGTCGGTGCGAAAGGGGACGCCAGTTGGCAAATGGTAAGGGGCTTTTTGTATCAGAGCTGAGATTTCGTTGACAACGAGTCTATTCGAGGTGACACAACTCCTCAAGTAAATGGAGTGCTCGACACATAAGAGAAGTATTTCCCAGTAAAATATCAAGCTCATTTATGAACGGGTTTTGCAAAGATTGATTCAACAACAGTAAAAGAGAAAAAGTCAAATATCTATAAAATTGTATTAAACATAAGTATAATAGAGAACAAACCTTAAGATCTTGAACAGAGCCTGGATGCACAAGAGAACACAAGAGACGCGGATCATCATCAGTATCACCAAGTACACCAGCGACAGTACAATCTTCATTCTCTGACATGGGTTTGATTTTTCCATCATCAATAGCTGCACTGGCATCATACTGCCATAAACATATACGGTTAACCTAATGATAAAAGTTTTATGAATCGAAAAATGGATCAGATAAACCACTATGGTTTTTTTTGTCAGACATCTGAATGGACCGTGAAAAAATTACTAAGAATGAAGGTTTAAATGAACCATAATGAAACTGTCCAATTATCTTTTCACATTTCAGAAGTCAGGTTCGACAATATTCAAGCATCAAATTTTAATGATTTTCTGCATATTATAAATCTATTCGTATGTCGTCAGAAAAATTAAAATAATCTGTCTTTCAGTTGCACGTCAAGTTGTACGAAAATGATTCGGTATAAATGAACAGTTCATTCTCTATGGTATCATCCTATACTTTGGAAATTACTTCTTATTTTAGATGCATACTAGTATCTGTCATGAGTAGTTGTAGACACACCATTTATACTAATCAGTAGAGTCGTTTGTCAGATTAAGATGATTCAAGGACAAAACGGTCATTTTGCTTAGCTTAGGAGAGTTGTTTAGTTACTTACAATGTCGAGGGCATTATTAGAGTCAAGTAGATCACAAGTAGTAATTCAAATACTTTGTGAACTATGGAAAAATTCCGCAATCTTATCTCAAACTCATTAGATAGCTCACATTTCGGATTGTGTATTTGGTGAACACTTTACCTGATGCTTACTATCTCAGTAATAGTTGTCCGAAGGATCACAAAATTCTAAAAGTATAAGCATGGAAAAGCTTGTAGTGAATACTGCTAGTATCAGACCTAGTTTAAATCTGTTTACCTATTTAATTAGAATACCAATGAAAAAAGGTTAAAAAGAAATAATTAAAGTAGTAAATCCACTGGTGCAGTCAAGGTTATCTTGATTGCTAATTTTCTTTATACAAAAAGAAATGAGTAGTATTTGAGTTAATCGAAACAGGTTGGATGAGAATAGACTTCATCATCAAAAAAGATAAAAAATAAAATAAATTAACTAAGAAATAATCTTTTTACATGAAATACAACAACCACGTGCAGGTTTCCACAGTAAGTATTGCGCTACACTTACATGAGGTATGGTAAAATTACCGGGATTCCAAACCTTGGTAGCTAGAACATGATTCAAACTTACATTCAACTAGTCGAAGTCGAAAGTAAAAACCAATGAGATATTGGCACACAGTAAACTAGTTCCTTTTCCCAACATAATAGAAGGCATACGATGAAGCACATAGGATAAAATAAGACATATGTTACGAGTTAATAGGACAGATTGTTAAATTTCATGGCAAAACTGTTTGGAATATGACGAAGTTTATTTACAATTCTAAACTTGTACGACATTGAACACGCTTTTCCTCCCATAAACAACAATCATCATAATTTTACCGGAGTTAACATATGAAAATGCAAGTTGATGATAATACACTATGAAGTTATCAAGGAAACAATACAACAGAAACAATGAAATTAAATTACCTCCTCTAACCAACTGCCAGTTACTACTAGTTCCTGATACTGTGTTTCCCGTTCACTGACAAATCGTACTCGAGATAAATTGAATGAAATACATTTGATACTAGAACGACTCGATGATAGAACCATTTTCCGTTAAGCAGCCGTCAATATCACTTGAAGAATGATTGAATGATAACTAGAATGGGCTGAAAATTAGACGATTTTTAAAAAGATGCTTATGGGTGTAGTGATTTAACAAAAGAAATAGAAAGTATATCTCAGTAATCACGTAAAGATTTGTATGTTAGGTTATAGACAATGCCTATTGTGTTATGATCAACAAGATTAGCGAGTCACTCATGCTTTAAACCAAGCATAATGAAGATGGATTTATGCTTCAGGAATTGAATGCCTTGACAGCTAAGTTCTACTGATATATTTCCGAGAACGTTATGCAAATGACAAATAAAAGGTGCTAACATTTCGGCAAAAAAAGGCATATATATATATATATATATATATATATAATCCCTTCAAAACAGTCAGGACTATACTTCTAGATTATCTTGCTTTCGCAGTAAGGGCACTATTATCAATTTTTGTACTCTTTTATGAATGAACGAAAGAACATTTTATGTGCTTGCTAAATCATCAGCCCACCTTTTTGTACAGTTTTTCTCTTCTAGATTCAAGTGCTGACCGAATGGACTGCAACTACAACTACTGAAATTACGCTCTTCCATCTACACTTTTAACAGAAAATTACCGGGAAGCTAGATGTGCACTTATGAACACTCAATCGTTACCAATATAACAGCTGACAGTTCGAAATAGAGACATATGAATGCATGTAGAGGTCAATTAGAAAAACTCATTTTACAGTGACAAAAAAAGCCAAAATCCACTCAGTAAACTTGTGCAGTAAGTTGTGGGCCACATCCATTGTGCGAGGGCAAATGATACTATGTGACAGATCAAATCTCAGCGGTTACGATTGGTATAGAACCCATGACCCAGTAGTTGAAAGCTGAGGGTCTAAAAAGGTGACCAACAGTTTCACGATGAAAACAATTTCATTGTGGTCATAAGAACTTTTAAAATGTCTTTACATTGAGGATGGAAAGCAGTGTATCAGTGGAAATATAAGAAAACTGATGTTCATCATAATTTTCAGACACTAGTTTTAAACTGAAAGCATTCAGTAAGCCACATTCAATAAACAATAAAATAGGCAGTGTAATACAATGGCAAGTTATGAGATTGGTTACTCTCCAGTGACCATGCAATGTACTTAATCCAGTGGAGGTCAAACGCAGCCCGAATAGCTTAGTGGTAACCTCTTTGACTGCAGCAGTGAGTGGCGCGGATCGAATCGTTCATAGGATATCAGTTGGCTCGAAGTTGCAGAGAAGCTAATCTTGAACGAAGTTCAATACAATTCAGTGTAGTTAAATCTGGATACGGGTGCAGTAAATAAACAAGGTATTCAGAAATAGTTTAGCTTAGTGTTGTTTATCTCATGATGATTAGTAGTCGATTTTACGATATGTGTTTCGACATATTTAGGACTTGTTTAGTTAGATATATATGCATCCTGGTGAGCGAAAATATATTGCAGGGATTTGAATCTAACAATCATTTCTTTAAACGCCTACTGATGGATTTCAAAGAGAACGAAACGTGAGTTATGAGTCCATCTGTTAATCACCATCAATCAAATAAAATTAAAGTGAATCTTCAAACAATATCCAGAAATTAGTTTAAGAAGACCACACGCCCAGAGAACAAGTATACAAAATTAAAGTTAATTCCCATTAACACCAAGATAACTCATTTATAACCACGAACATCTAGTACTAAAACTTAAAAATGGTGTAACTGAATCATTAAGAATATCTACCTTTTATTTTCATAATATACAACGTTAACAGATAATATTGCAACCAAATTTTCTGTCGTAATTGTTCACTCTTTCTGTTGGCAGGACAGAATATTTAAGATGAGCAGTAAAATGACTCACTAGGCTAGAAATTATTAGCAAATATTCTAAACACCACACTATACTGAACAGTGGACGCTAGATCAAAATGAATTGAATCAAAATGCACTCAGCAACCTTGTGCACATTTGTGCAGTAAGTAATGAGCTACACTTTTTGTGTGAGAACTAATGATGCTACATGGTTGTCCAATGAAGCCGGAGTAGTGCTCGAACTTGTGACTAACTGATTGAAAGTCAACTCCCTAAACCAATGACTTACAACTCCACAATATCAGTAAAATATTTACGTGACGCATTTAGATTAATGATAGATTAGACTGATTGGAAATACTTGAGTACCGAGTTGTGATTCAATGTATAGTGTATTTAATTGTGTAAAAACCTGGAGTTGTATATTAGAATAAAATATTTATTTGTTCTAATATACTACACTGGCATTACACAAGTTAAATACACTTTATACAACAGATATTATTATTCTTAACAAACTTGGTACAACACGGGCATCAAGGGGTGAGACTAAAAGTGTTCCCCAGGTGTTGCAGCCTTCTGTCTGGGAATATATATTTTCTTTATTCTGTATGCATATAATCTGAAGTGAAAACTGCAATCACAAATCCTTTACGATGTAATCTGAAGCTTCAACTAACCCACTGTGAGCATCACTCACCTTGAATAACTATACTTACTTTTCGCCTAAGAATTGGAAGTGCAGCCAACAATCAGCACATGGATAAACGGTATGAAACACGATTCAACGATAGACGGCATTGTAAAAGCTATGCAAATAGGTAAGATATTCATACGGAACAGAGAAAATGGTCGTACTTTCATAAGGAACCCTACAATCTATGGCGAGCACGAAAATACCGGGGATAACTTTTAGCCTCACCAGTGTCAAGAGAGGCATCATACTAAGTAATACAAGACCATTAAGAAGGCATGGAACGAAGAAAAACAAATACAGAAACAGAAATTAGTTATTAGAGAAGCAATTTGGTATATCCAAAGAAGCATTCACTAATTTTGTTTTATTTTCTAGCAATAGACAGGTTAAGCAAAATACATTACAGATACTAGAGATTCGGAACAGTCCGCTAAAAAAGAAACTTTCTGACTAGATAAAAAACAGGAAGGAAAATCAGTTTCATCTGTTATCAAGAAATGGATTACTTCTTGTAATACAGCTAATACCAATCGTTCGACAGTGCATAGAGGTTCGGAAAGAGTGGTATACTCTCAAGAAGTTATTTCAATGAACACCGTAAATGATTTAGGCAACACGCAAACTATCAAAGATTTTTGAGGCGAGTAACTACTGCTACAGAAAATGCTATACGATGAGTAGGAATATCATCACTAGATTGCTTTCAAAAAAAGAGTAAAGAAACCTATCTATGTTTAAAAAATACAAAATCTTATCGCGCTAATCTGAACCTTCTCCATAGAGAGAATATGACTGGTTAACAACAATATCAAATACGAATCTCTCAAGGTCATTCTATGTGTTCAGTTGAAGTAAATACTTTATCTTGGTAGCTTAAACTAATTTTATTTCAAATTCAAACAAGAACTCAGTACAGCAAACGATCAACGAAGTGCACGACTAATTCACACATTTGGAGGCCGGTTAGTATCATCAAAATTTTACTCTTAGAATTATCATCATACACACAAATCAAAAATTTGCTTTAAAGAACAAAAAAGGACCGATTTCGTTGAAATAAATTTATTTTGAAAGTCAACATTTTTATAACATTTCAATTGGAAAAATGCATAGATCAGATATGTATACATGTGTACGAAGGTACTGATTTACAAAATATCTGGGGAACGACAGTAGTAATATAATATTATCTCTACGATTGATTGTCACTTATTTGCATTGACTGGTCCTCCTGATCTGACAATATATTAGATTGTGTATTATGACTATCATTCATGTTTGCAGCAGTTGCAATATTATTAGTAGAAATATTCAGTGGTGTAATTGAATTATGTAATCCAGAATGTACTGAAGCTACACTGCCAATTGGTGTTTCAAATATTGCATCATTAAATAATTCTGTATCACGAGGCAATGTTGGATAAGGATGGTGTACAGGTGTTGCTACTGTAGTCATCGGTTCTGTTGATGAAGTAACAATTGGAGTAATATTCCCAAAACCAACACCAACGTTATCCGCATCACCATCATCAACACCCTCATAGCACATATTTGCGACTAGATGACCTGAACGAATAGATGATGATGAAGACGGTGTATGCTTGCGTAGATAAAATCTCCTCCTCAGTATTGTTGATTCATTAAAAGAAGTGAGAGCATGTTTCAATGATAGACTAAAAAGCTGTAAGGCATACAAGATAAGTTATGAGAAAAATTAACTAATAACTGACTATCTTACTCTTTATTGTTCAAAATGCACAAGAGAAAACCAAACACTGTGTAAACTTCTTACTTAAAGAGTTAATTTTTCATTTTACAATGTTTGATAAGTTGCAACAGAAAAATTTTAAAAACGATAAGAGGAACTGTGATCGTTAATTATGCAAAATAGAAAGACAATCTAACCACTGAAGACAATTTGATGTAGTTATTCATCATGAATTGACCTCAGTTGGTGTTATGATTTGGACGATTGCTATATGCTATGGCCACTAACGATGCAAACATATCGACTGTCAGCCACCAACGTTCAACAAATTCCTAGTTGATTCCGACTCGACTAATTAGTGAAGAAGATACGATAGATGTGTAGAAACGTGTATTAGGGTCGAAAAACCGAAAGAAGGATGATGGGAGAGTTTATTTCCCCCGAGAATATAATAACAATAAATCTCAAAACACGTGAATAAGTACACACATGAAAAATGACCTTCTCTACAATTTGAGACATTGGCATAGTAAAAGTAAAGATTAACCCATCAGTGGATTACATTGCAATGGGGCAGAAAATATACTAGTAGTCACACCGTAAAAATGGTATGAGAATGCCAAGTTAAAAATGTTCAGACCAATAACACTGTTTTCTGCAAAACTAGGATCTCACAACAGTTGGACAGCCATGAAAGTCTGGGAGCACTGTCTCTTCCTAATATGGTACCCTTCAGAAGTACTCACCCACGACACTGACAGAGATAAAGTTATTAGGTCTCTGGATGGGTATGTTACCATTCAGCCATTGGGTTGAAATCCAATAGTTCAAATTTTCCTACTTCCGTCAATTCTCAAGATAGCGTGACCACTATTCAAAACCATTGGCGAGTAATTTTCAGTGGTGCACACTACTCAGGAGTCCCATACAAGGACGAAACAGCTACATAGTGCTCCCAGGTTTTCGATGGTTCTCTGACTGGCTTCAATTCATGATGAATTATTATTATTATTATTAGTCCCTTGGGTTCCTAGTGGAACATAGGGCTTCAGTAGCACGTCTCCATTTCATCCTGTTCTCTGAGATCTTTTGAACCTGGTCCCACGACAGCCCACAACCTCTCATTTCCTCCTCGCACGACCTCCATGTCACCCTCGGACGTCCAACTCGTCGCTTCCCATAGGGATTCCACTCGAGCAACTGGCCTGACGCGCGATGTCCTCAGTCGGCCTTCTCAGTGCATGGCCAATCCATCTCCACTTCTTCCTGCATATTTGTTGCGTGATAGGTTCTTGGTTGGTTCGTTCCCAGAGTTCCTTGTTGCTTATTTTTTCTGGCCATCTGATCTCCAGTAGCGAGCGTAAGCAGTTGTTGATGAATGTCTGTAGTTTATTGGAAATCCCTTTCGTGACGCGCCAAGTCTCTGAACCATACAAGAGCACTGACTTGACGTTGGTGTTGAAAATCCGTATCTTGTTCCGCATGCTGAGTGCAGAAGATCTCCACACTGGTTTCAGGCTAATGAACGCCTGTCTTGCTTTTCCGATTCTCACTTTGACGTCCTCGTCCGTCCCGCCTGTAGTTGAAACAGTGCTTCCTAGATAAGTGAAGGAGGTTACTTCCTTTAAGTTTCTCCCGTTGACAGTGATTGGAGTTTGTTGTTGTTGTTGATGGTGGTGGTGCGGTATCTTCATCACTTCTGTCTTCTCTATATTCACCTGAAGTCCCGTCTTCGCTGCCCTGCCTCTTCTATCAACTTGTTAGTTTTTGCCTGTAGATCTTCAAGTTTATGTGACATTAGGCATAAGTCATCGGCGAAATCCAAGTCTTCTAGGTTCTTTTCCGCAGTCCAGTGTATCCCCCTCTTCTCGCTGCCTACTGTTTGCTGCATGATCCAGTCCACCACAATAAGGAATATCATGGGGGATAGTAGGCAACCTTGTTTCACTCCTGTCTCCACTTCACTTCAAAAGCATCACTGAGCTTCCCATTGTGAATTACTTGGCATGTGGCATCTTCATATAGTTGTTGAATGAGGCGGATAAAGGTTTGCGGTACTCCGTAGTATTGAAGCAGTTTCCAAATTACTTCTCGGTCGACGCTGTCAAAGGCCTTCTCAAAGTCGATGAAGTTGAGGTGAGGTAGAGAGCTGATTGCCATTCTATGCTCTGTTCTATGATGATACGAAGCGTTGCAATTTGGTCAACACATGATTTGTACTTCCTGAAGCCTGCCTGTTCCGGTCGCAGTTTTGAATCCAGTGCGTCTTTAAGCCTCTCCAGGATGATGCCGCTTAATATTTTACTTGGGGTGGACAGGAGAGTGATTCCGCGCCAGTTCTTGCAAACACTGAGGTCTCCTTTCTTCGGCAGTTTGACAAGGTAACCCTTCTTCCAATCGTCAGGTACCTTCTCTTCCTTCCACACCTTCTGCAATAGTGGTGTGAGCATGTCCGCTGTTGTCTCTGCATCTGTTCTCAGTGCTTCTGGCGGTATCCCATCTGGTCCTGCTGCTTTCCCGCATTTTAGTAGCTTTATGGCGTTCAGGACTTCCATTTTCGTTGGGGGATTTATGTTCACTTGTAATTCAGCGGCTGCAGGTGGTATTTCTGGACGAAGTGCAGGTGGTGATGGTGGTCGATTCAAGAGCTTCTTGAAGTGGTCGGCCCATCGTTTCCTCTGTTTCTCTTCTTTCGTAACTAAATTTCCTTCTCCATCTTTTATTGGTTTCATCTGTGTTGGTCTCTTCGCTGATAGCAACCTGGTTATTTGATACAATGTCGTCAGGTCTCTCTTACCTGCAGCCTGTTCTGCTTCACTTGCCAGTGTTTCGTAGAAGTGTCTTTTGTCTTTGCGTGCACTCTTCTTCACTTCTTTATCCAATGTTTTATACATTGTGCTCAGTTCCTCTTGTCGTTGAGCATCCTTGCACTGGTTTATCTTCTGTTTCACCATCCTCCTCTCCTCTATCAGCTTCCATGTATCCGTCGAGATCCATTCCACTCCTTGTCTTCTTTCTTCTTCCTTCCTAATATTGTTGTGCAGGTTTCTTTCCACATAGCTTTCAAAGACTTCCAGTGTTCTTCCACACAGGTTTCTTCAGGGATGTTCCTCGATATCTCCCATTTTGTCTTGATGGCTGCCGTGAAGATCTCCTTTGTAGTTTCATCCTTCAGTTTCCGAGTGTTGTACTTGAATTGAGGTCTATCACCAGCTTCCTTGAAGGCTTTTAACTTGATTTGGAAGGTTCCTTGCACTAGACAGTGGTCTGAACCTACATCTGCTCCTCTTCTTGACCTTGTGTTAAGTAGACTGCGTCTCCATTTTCTTGAGATTGAGATAAAGTCGATTTGATTTTTAGTGTGTCCATCTGGTGAAATCCATGTCGCTTTGTGGATATCTTTGTCCTTGAACACACTGCCTCACTGCAATCACCAAATCGTTGAATGCGCAGAATTCTGCAAACAATTCTCCATTTTCATTCATTTCACCTAGCGCTTCTCGACCCATGGTTAGTTCTCTTCCCGTGTTGTCCCCTCCAAGTTTGGCATTCATGTCGCCCATCAGAATTTTGATATCGCCAACTGACGTCTTGTCCAGTGTTGACTGAAGTTGTCTGTAGAATTCCTCCTTTTTCTCTTGCTCTGCATTATTTGTAGGTGCATAACATTGTATGATTGTGACCTTTCTTCCTTTTGAGTTGAATCTTGCTGTCATGATCCTGGAGGAGATTGGTTCCCACTGCATGAGAGCCTTCGATGCTCTTGAGGGCATCATGATAGCCACTCCCTCAGTGTGCTCGTGGTTGGCGTCTGGGTGACCGGAGTAGATTATTGATTCTCCAGTTGACAGTTTGGAGAGTCCACTCCCATTCCATCTGCTCTCGCAAATCCCAAGCACTTCGATGTGATACCTTCTCATCTCGTTTGCAATCTGGGCTGCCTTACTGGGTTCAAACATCGTACGGACATTCCATGTCCCCACGTTTACTTTCGCTTTCATCGAGAGAAGCGAAGACACATCGGCCAATTGGCTTCCCGAAGGCTTTCACCAACTGGCGTCATTTCGCCTCTCCGATTCCAGCGGGGTATAAGTTTGTTTTCATTTTTTATATTTTGTTTGTGCTTTGAAGTTTCTTTAGCGGTTAGATTTGTTTTACGGGGTAGGGTTGCTAGCCCTATGCCCAACCTTCCCTCTTTACCCGGGCTTAGGACCGGCTAGTAACTAGTAAACTAGTTAACCAGGCGAGGTTGATGAATACTGCCCTTAATTTAATCAGTACCCGCAAACCTCCAAAAAGAGGACAATTCACATTTTTACATACAGACGATGATTTCGAATTATTGGTACATAATTTAATCCCAAATCCGTGGTATATTCGTCTATACACTAAACTTCCAATTAGTAAGCAACCAGTACAAACCACACCACCTACAGAGATTGGGACAGAGAATGAATATAATTAACTCTTATACGAGGTGTGTGTATTTCATGGTCTAATGCACAAATCCACATCCTATCACTTTCATTACTAACATTCTGTTTGAAAAGTCAAGGTATCATAAAATATTTTTGACTGATTACAACGTCTGCGAAAATCAACACAAGCCCAATGAGTCACCATGGTAATAGATACAGTCAGTAAAAAATATAGAAATATTAGTCGGATTCAGATGGATAGCCTTAGTCGGCAGATCGACTTATGTAAATAAAATCCACGATTTAAGGCAAACACAAATTTGAAAAGGAGAAAAACGACAAGAAAGTGAGGAGCTCAAGTTACCCTCTAAACAAAAACAACCTGCTTACCAGGCTGTAAACTATGCTTAATTTGGTATGGCTAACAAAAACAAAGATGTCTTAATGTCAAGCACATTCAATGGTTTCAAAACTCTGAGTGAGTTACATGTCAAAACAAAAATTACAAACAATTATATATATATATATATATATATATATATATATATATATATATAT